ATCAGTATATAAGAAAGTTCCTAGAAAGAAGTTTCCTGATATGAAGAGTTGGTGCTCAATACAAGAGAAGTGATGAACATACCAGAAATGGAGAGAAGGCACACTAGTGAGTGATATGGTGAATATAAAAGAAAACTATAGGAAAGAAATGGACTTACTGAAACTCGAACACCTCTGGCACCAAAACCGGTTTAGTAGATATAGGATACACTAATACAAATAAAAATCTAAGAGGGTAATCTTGGTACCATACTTAGTAAGTTTGTGTTGAGGGTAAATTCGAAGGACTATAGATACTTGGTAACATTCAATGAGGTAGTACCTTGATATAAATAGTAATTAGATAGTCCTAATCTGGTATGTCCATGTGGTAATGAAAGGTTGTAATGCATAGAATTGAAAATCAGAAAGTTTAAATAGAGGATTTACAGGCGGATCTCAGATATGATAGCTAGTGGGTAACCCTCAGGTGGAACCCTTAATTAGATAATGACTAAAGTTATATGTGTGACTAGTTATACTTTCATTAATAAACTATGTATTTATTAATAACTAGACATTACTCAATAAAAAACAGACAGGCAAGATTGCCACTTATAATACAAAAAAAAAAAAAAATGCTACAAATAATAATACTTTTATAAAATATTTAGAAAATATATGTAAAAATAAAAATATCTTATTTAATACTACTAAATCCTATTGTTGATATATTGCTTATATCATTAATATAGCTTTTTAAAAAACCTTAAAGTTGATAATATATAAACAGAAGATAATATTCTAGATAATATAAAAACATTTTTAAGTATTAGAAAAATTATTTCAAAATTTAAAAAATTTATTTTTTATATTAAATCTTTTCTACAATATCATAAACAATTTATATATTAAGCAAAAACTACTAGACTTAAAGATGTTAATCTTATCTTAGATATTAAAACAAAATAAAACTTTATATATAATATGTTTATGCTTATATAAGTATTAAAAATACATGAGGCATTAAATGCAATTATAAGTTTAAATAAAAAACTTAGAATGTTAGAACTTAAAAATATAGAATAAAATAAAATTGAAGGAATTATAATAGTTTAAACATATTTATGTGAATAACTAAACTAGTTTCTTTAACAAAATATCTATTACTTGCATCTACAATTTCAATATATAATTATTTAATCAGTAAACTTAAGATGCATTATAATAATTTTAAAATCTCAATGAAGTAATTGTTACAATAAATTCAGACTTAAAAAAATTAAAAACATATTATAAAAGAACTAATTAAAATGCTATATATTTTGTTGCAATGGTACTTAATCCATATTTGAAATTAAATTACTATGAAGACAATAATATAGATATTAGATTTATTAATAATATTAGAAAAACTGTTTATGTTATTTATAAAAATAATTATGTACCAATTGCTTATAAAACTAATAATAATCAAGAAGTTAATACTTTTAATAATAATAATCTTTTAGATCATATTTTCTGAAAGAAATAAAAAATTAAGGGAATTTCTATTTTTACCCATACTTTTTGCTATTTTTACTATAGGTTACATGAGATTTTCTATTTTTAGTTTTTATAACAATAATATATATAAACCTTCTAAAATTTTGTTTATTAATCCTAACCCTAAAATCTATTAAGTAAAAGTTTCTTAGACTTCTAATTAAAGTTATAGAGCTTATTTTTCTGATTCTAATGATAATTAAATCATCAAAATCGGCCTGATAGTTCCCAAGATATTGGGGATCAAAGATGAAAGTAAAAAGATCTACAAACTGTCAGTTACACAAAGTACTATTGTCAATAGAACTTTATGTAACTGGCAATTTGTAGATCTTCTTGCTTTCATCTTTGATCCCCAATATCTTGAAATCTACCAGGCTGATTTTGATAATTTAATTATCATTAGAATCAGAAAAACAAACTTTATAACTTTAATTAGAAATCTAAGAAATCTTTACTTATTAGATTTTAGAATTAGGGTTAATAAAAGAAATATTTATTAAATTTTAAAGAGTTTATATATGGGGATGAGCACAGCAAAAGGTGGCAATGTGCAAAAAATTTTGATTCTGTAATTTTATAAAAATTATATGCTTATTATTCTAATTCTTCAAGAAATTGTATTTTTAAGAAAAAAAATTTTTTTGACACATTGTCACCTTTTGCTATGAGGGTTCTCATATATAATTGTCATAAAAACTAAAAATAGAAAATCTTGTATAACCCATGGTGAAAATAGCAATTTCCAAAATTAACTAGCAAAATAAAGCAGAATTATATTTAAAGTCTTTACAAGCAACATAAAAACATAATATTTTTATTTAGTAAAAAAAAAATAAGAATAAATATCTATATCTAGTCATTATGACTAGAGACTATTTTGTGATTTTAGCTACTAGTGTTCCAGTAGAATGAATATTTTTAGAAGAGACTGATTTAATCATCACAAAGAAATATAGTCTCAGTACAAGCATTGTTCATGTATATATATGCTTAAGATTTTGGTTATATAAAATATAAATTTTTATTCTTTACATTAAAAAGCTAATTATCTATTTAAAATATATTAATTCTTATTTTCTTTAAATTCTATATTTGCTTTATTTAAATTATTGTTATTTATTTATTAATAATTATATATGTAAAATTTGCATAATGATAATATTTTAATAAATAGTAAACCAAATATCATTTACTTAAAATTTACAAATTTGCAAAACCTGAGTATAACCTAGGTTGGTTTTAAAATGTCTCTAAATTTAACTTGACCTGATTGTTAGAAGCACTATCAACAACTATTTAATCAAATTTGCTAAAAATTTTTATTTTAATTTTGAAATTATATAAAATTAAAATAATAAAAAAATTTATTAAATTTAATAAATAGTTATTAAAATATTTAAGCATAAAATCAAGAAAACTTTTACTTAGAAAAAAAAATTTGTCTCTTTTCTATTAACTTTCTTTTACTTATTAACTTTAAAACTATAAATTAAATATAAGTAAGTCTTATTTTAATATTAAAAAATTAAATTTTTAAAATTTATTTTTTTAATTTTATTATTATTTATAACTTTTAATTTATATTAATATAACTGACTAAATATGTTTTTGTTTAGTATATTTATAATTATTATTTTTTTATAAATATTTAATTACAAAAAAAAATAAAAAATTTTTTTAGTTATTTTTTTAAAAATACAAAAATATTATTATAATTATTTAATAATTTTTTAATACTAATAAAATATTAATAATAAATAAAAAAAAAGATTTGAATTAACAATTAATAATAATTTTATAAAAAGATATATTTAATTTGCAGAATGAGTTTTAGGTCATATAGTTTAACAAATAAGTTACCAAACTTCTATAAGTAAGGTTAATAATTTGAGCTAAGCTAAAAGTAAAATCTATAAATTTTAAATTTTGTAATCTAAATAGAAACTAAATTAATTATAAAGCTTTGTAAAAGTTTTAAAATAAAGTATAAAAACAGATTAAAAATTTTTAAAAGAAGATCAACTTTATAAAAAATAGGTATTATATATAACAGCAATATTATAAAAAGTTTTATTATATAAAGTATTATATAAGGTAAGTTTTTTAAAAAACAGATAGTATCAATATTTCTATACTTAACTTGTAAAGTACTTGATTAAGAAAATAATACTAATATAATTAAAATTAAAATAATAAATAAAACAAACAGTACATATAAAGATTTATAATAAAAAATTAATTTAAATAAAATTAAAACATCTTTAGTAAATACTATGTATAAATCTTAAGAAAACAAAACTAATAGTCATATATTACAACTTTGCTAATGAGTACTATATCTGTATATAATAAGTCAAGGTTCTAGGTTTTTTTACAATATCAAGTTAAAAATACAATTATACAATAATAGTAATATATTTATAAATATTTGTAGAAAGCATATTTATCTATTATAATTAAATAAATTATGAAAATATACTGAAAATGTATATAATAACTATAGATCAATAATTCAAAACTCAATAAATTCAATTATACTAATTAGTACCAATATATAAAAGATTGTGTGCACCAAATTGATAGTAAGAAAAACAAGAAATTATTAGAATTAACCAATTTAAAAAAAGAAAAGATTATTGCAACAAGTAGATAAAGGATTATAATCATATAGAATTAGGATAGAAAGAAGTAAATAAGAGATTATAATTAGGTAAATTAGGGAATATAGTATAACAAGGTGATTACTGTCTTACTTTAGTTAGTAATAATAACTAAAATAATATAAGTTTAATAATAGAATAAGAAAATGTAAATATAATATTACATTGGGTAACTATTGCAAAAAGTAATATAGTAACACAAATGAAATGTAAAATTGTAATAACAACATAAAATTAATAAAGCAAATTTACAAATTGATATTATAAAAAAATTTGTAAAGTATATAACTAATAAAAAAAATAACAAATAATAAAATACTATTTTGTAAAAACTTTGATACTTTGTTAAACTTAGTTGTTAAAACTATCAAAAGTGTAAAAATAGATTAAATGCTCGTATATAGCAACGAACATGAAGATTAAAAAATAATATAACTTTTTGGTTATGTTAACTAGATTGAAATAAAATTTTATTGATTATATATTTTATTAAAAAATATGCTACTATATCTATATTTCTAATAAAAATACTTGTCAAAGACCTACTTATGTTTCTTGTTCAATACGATATTGTATGTACGCCAATCAATATCATCTACGAAAATCATATATGAGGTCGGTGGTTATTAAATTGGAATATTGGAAAGGTTCGACATCACGTGCCTGTCACTTTCTTTTCGCCATGAGGGCAAGCCATTCATTTTTGATACTTTTTTGATACATCTAAACATACCCTAAAATTTCTATACCTTTTACTAACTTTTATTATAATAACATGCAACCTTATTGTTAGTTTTAGGGTATGTTTTGCGGTTAGAAAGCATGAAAATTGAATTCATGGCATATAAAGTTTGTATAACATGTCCAATCAAATTGAAACACATTAATATCATAGGACCCATTGTACTCAGCCGGGCTTGACCAATAAGCCCGATAATTTAGTAGTCCTGGCCCAAGTTCGGCCCAAATAATATTGGGCTCAGAAATTTGGACCCGAACTAGGCCCAAGCCCAGCTCAGTCCGCAAAATTCTGGGTTTAGCGCGGCCCCAAGATACTAACAGGAGCGGCCGTTCAATTTCGTAGATTATTCCGATATAGTTGTACAATTGATAAATATTTTTTTGAGGAATGATTTTCGTACATCAGTTTCGTGTAACTTCACGTACATCAATTTAGGTTTGGCCAATAAAATCAC